CAAAAAGTCGATTTCTGCTCTAATTTCTGAATGAAATTGTGTAAAATCGATTTTTAAAAATTATTTTGTAAATGTGTGCCTTCATATGCACATGTGTGTATGTATGTATATGAATGTGTGTGTGTGTGCATGCATGTGTGTGTGTTTTCACACATGTACTTGTGGAGGGGAGAGGTTGACTTTAGATGTCTTTCCCCTTCCTTCTCCATCTTAGTTTTTGACTCAGGTCTCTCAGTAAACCTAGAATCTACCAGTTTAGCTGGATCAGCTGGCATAAAGGTGTACATAGGTGCAGATAGAGTACTCATATACATAAATAAACTTTTAAAAATTGAAAAATAATTTAAAAAGACACTTGACTTGAAGGGATCTTTGGTCTGTTTTGTTAGAGCTACTTAAAGACAATTGCCTAGGTGTGGTAGTACTTGCCTTTGATCCCAGCACTCAGGTGGATCTCTGTGAGTCTGAGGCCAGCCTGGTCTAAAGAGCTAGTTCCAGGATAGTCAGGATACTGAGAGAAACCCTGTCTCAAAAAACAAAACAAAACAAAAATCCAAGACAATTGCCTATATGTAGTAGCCATATACAAAAATTTTATGAAATTGCCCCAGTGATAAGTGGGAAATTCTAAAATTCTTCAATTGAACAAAGATTTTCATGTTGTTATTGGTGATGGCTGTTTCTTAAACAGCAGGAGCAAAAGAACTTACTGGGATATAAAGAAGAGCTGAGCAGCAGAAAGAAAGGGGATGCTTCACGGGACTAGGTTTCCTATCATCCTACGTCTGACTTCAGCAGGCAGATCTCTGTGAGTTCAAGGCCGGCCTGTTCAAGACGAGGCTATTTAGAGACCCCGTCTCAAAACAAAACAAAAAAGCAGCATACCCTTTGGGAAGAAGGGAGACAGAAAAATGGTTCAGCCAGTAAAGTGCTTGCTTGAGTGTGATTCAAGCACCCACGTAGAAAGAACCAGGCTTGGCGGGACACACCTGCATCCCCGACTTGGAAAGGCAGAAACAGGAGGGCACCTGGGGTTTGAAAGGCCAGCTGATCCAGCTAAACTGGTTTACTGAGAGACCTGAGTCAAAAACTAAGATGGAGAAGGAAGGGGAAAGACATCTAAAGTCAACCTCTCCCCTCCACAAGTACATGTGTGAAAACACACACACATGCATGCACACACACATTCATATACATACATACACACATGTGCATATGAAGGCACACATTTACAAAATAATTTTTAAAAATCGATTTTACACAATTTCATTCAGAAATTAGAGCAGAAATCGACTTTTTGAGGCCAGTGTTCAGACCAAAGTGAAACCAGGGGCTGCAAGAAGGAAGAGTGAAGACCCCACTATAGATGGTTGTGAGCCACTGTGTGGTTGCTGGGAATTGAACTCAGGACCTCTGGAAGAGCAGACAGAGCTGAGACATCTCTCCAGCCCCAAAAGTTTATTTTTAACTATGTGAATATGTATGGCCCTGCCCGTGGTTATGTGCCGTGTGAGTGCAGGTGTGTATGTGTGGAGGTCAGAGGCTTCACATCTCCTGGAACTGGAGTTACAGGCAGTTCTGAGGCAGCTGGTGCGGGCTCTAGGAACAGAGCTTGGGTCCTCTGCAAGAGCAGTGTGCATCTTCAACTGCTGAGCCATCTCTCCTGACCAACTTCTTTAAAACGTGTGTGTGTGTGTGTGTGAGAGAGAGAGAGAGAGAGAGAGAGAGAGAGAGAGAGAGGAGACAGAGAGAGAGAGAGAGAGAGAGAGAGAGAGAGAGAGAGAGAGAGAGAGAGGGAGAGGTGGGGTGGGGTATGGATTGGAGGGAAAGAGGAGAGAGTAGACATGAAAAGGACAGTAGCATGTCTTACTATGAGGAGAAGCAAGTATCTGGAACAGAAGTTAAAGGAAACATTTTTTTTTAAAGATTTATTTATTTATTATGTGTACAGTATTCTCAGTATTCTGTCTGCATGTATGCCTGCAGGCCAGCAGAGGGCACCAGACCTCATTACAGATGGTTGTGAGCCACCATGTGGTTGCTGGGAATTGAACTCAGGACCTCTGGAAGAGCAGGCAGTGCTCTTAACCGCTGAGCCATCTCTCCAGCCCAAAGGAAACATTTTTTTAAAAAAGTTTTTTATTTGTATCGTATTATCTTAACGTTTGTGTGAAAATCCTGTGTGTCTGTCTTTGTAAGAGTATGTGCACACGTGAAAGCAGGATCTTCAAGACCAAAGGTGTTGGAGCTCCTGGAGCTGGGGTTACAGGTGAGAGCAGCCTGACCTGGGTTCTGGGACCCCACTTGGGACGTCTAAAGGAGCAGGACATGCTTTTAACCACAGAGCCATCTCTCTGGTCACACCTCTCCTCGCCTAGGTTTTGAGACAGGGTTTCACTATTCAGGTCTCGCTGGTCTGCAACTTGCTCTGCAGTCGAGGCTGGCCTTGAATACTCAGAGATCTGCCAGCCTCTGTCTCCAGGGTGCTGGGGTCAAGGTGGGTGTCACCATGCCCAGTGTGAAAGAAATGCTTTTAAGGAGAGGCCGATTGATAATTTGGACAGCTAGGCTCCATATATTGCATTAGGCAGCTTGAGAAAGTAGAAGCTTGTTATAAGGGATCGCTTGTTTGTTTCCAGGCTGCCCGCTCAGACCCGAAATAATCACACAAACTATATTATTTAAATCACTGCTTGGCCCATTAGCTCTAGCTTCTTATTTGCTATCTTAATTTAAATTATATATTTTTTAAAAAGATTTATTTATTTATTATGTATACAGTGTTCTGTCTGTCTGTATGCTTGCTGGTTAGAAGAGGGCACCAGATCTCACTACAGATGGCTATGAGCCACCATGTGGTTGCCGGGAATTGAACTCGGGACCTCTGGAAGAGCAGTCAGTGCTCCCAACCTCTGAGCCATCTCTCCAGTCCTTAAATTATATCTTAATTTAACCTATTTCTAGTAATCTGTATATCGCCGTGAGGCTGTGGCTGACCAGGTAAAGTTCCAGCATCTGTCTGTGGCAGGGCTCCATGGCTTCTCTTTCACCCTGCCTTCCTTCTCCCAGAAGTGTTTAGTTTTCTCTGCCTACCTAAGTTCTGTTCTACCCTATCAGGCCAAGCCAGTTTCTTTATTAACCAGTGGTATTCACAGTATACAGAGGGGAATCCCACATCAGAAGCATAATCTGAGGGGGTGGCTTGTGACCAGGACAAAGACTTTTAATTTCACTGGAGAGAAAGCAGTGAGTGTGGGTGGGGCCAGGTAAACTCTGAACAGGATGACAGGAAATTGGGGGTCCGAGTGGAGGAGAGAAGAAGAAAACTGGGTATTTGGAGAGGAGAGGTTTTAGCTTATTCAACCCATAAAATGGAAATGCAAACATGAGAGAAAATTTGGGGACTATTCAGTTGAGACACATAGTCCTGAATATAGACAGTCTTGTTCAAATTACACTATAGGTAAGGGAGCAGGAAGATAGGTGAGTTCATCCCACATGTGTTGAGAGAGAGGGGGAAAGAAGGAGAGACAGGGAGGAAAACTGATGGAGGAAGGAAGAGAAGAAGGCAAACTGTGCAGGGAACTGACCACAGTTAAGCAGGACAAGTGACAAAGTGACCGCCCGAAAGACTAGCAGAATCGAGAAAATGAAGGTTTTTCTTTTCTTTTCTTTTCTTTTCTTTTCTTTTCTTTTCTTTTCTTTTCTTTTCTTTTCTTTTCTTTTTGAGACAGGGTTTCTCTGTGGCTTTGAAGCCTGTCCTGGAAATAGCTCTGTAGACCAGGCTGGCTTTGAACTCACAGAGATCCGCCTGCCTCTGTGTGCTGGAATTCCTGAGTGCTGGAATTAAAAGGTGTGCGCCATCACCGCCTGGCTGAGAATGAAGATCTTAACACACGGGAAGAGACACTCTTGGTTACTGAGAAGCTGTGCCGGAAGGAAAGGAGGAAGCGGGCAGAGATGGGGCTCCGGAGGAAGCAGTTTGAGCAGCAGTTCGTCAGAGCCTCACTCTCCAATGCAGTGGCCACTAGCACACGCGGCAACCCACGTCCTCACCTTCACTAGCTATGTCTCCAGGGGTTTTCCATACCAGACAGCGCACCTAAAGAAGGTGCCTCACAGTAGTGATATTTTAGTATGGCCGTGGGAGCAGAGCCGAAGAGCTTGGGAGGGCTGTTTGGGGGTTGGGGAAGGGGTGATACTAGAGAGCACCTCATTTGCCACACAACCCTTCAGAAGAGAGGAGTTTGGGTGAGAATTGGGAAGAAGGAACTGAGGGGGATGATTTATTCTTATTTCATGCACATTTGTGTTTTGCCCGCATGCATATCTGTATGTCTGTATGAAGGTGTTGGATCTCCTGAAACTGGAGGTTTAGGCAGGTATGAACTGCCGTGTGAGTTCTGGGAATCAAATCTGGGTCCTCTGGAAAAACAGCTTAACCGCTGAGCCATGGCTCTAGCTCTGAGAGTGTCCTTGTCCACTCTTCTCAGGGTCATCTCACTGCCTGCTGACATGCCCAGCCCCGGCCTCAGCCCCAGCACTAAGGCCAACCTCCTGTCTTCCCTTGGGGCCACACTGTGATGCCCTCATTCAGACATCGGCATTTTCTTTAGATGCTTCCCAATAAGGAAACAGAGGCACTCTGGATCCCAGCCAACCCTGACTGCAGACCCCAGAGTCGGTCTGGGCACGCAGGGTAGTAAGAGTTTTCATGGGATGTAGTCTTCCAGTCAGTGATGGGGAGAAAGGAACGGGCCTGGGACTGGGAACTGGACTTCTGACTGGGTCATAGGTTGGGACCTGGCTGATGCTTTGATGACTGAGCGGCGTGTGACCATTACCACCCCAAGACGCAAGCCCGGGAAATCCTCACTGTTCATCTCTGAGAGAGACAACTGGACTCAGCAAGGCCCAAGTCTCAAGGCGTCCATTCGCGGGGAACAGAAACACACACCAACCATTTAGACCTTTACTGGGGACCGAACGGATGCGCGTCCTCAGTGGTCAATGATTTCAATGTGGAACTGTAGGTGAGTGGTCGTGATCACACAGTGGCCCCGCAGGAGGGAACAGGACTGGCAGTTGTGGTATTTCCAGTGGCCCTGGATGATGTAGATGGCGCTGAGGACCTGGCAGTACCGCCAGTGAATGCGCCACATCCGAATCAGCGACTGGATCTTGACAATCGCTCTCTCCCTGTTTGAGAAGTCAATCAGCGCTTTCCTCCGCTTCTTCTCCAGGATCCTGCAGAGCGTCAGCCGCCACCAGCACTGAATGATCCAGACTCTGAGGGCTGCGTGCAGCAGGGTCCTGCGCACCAGGGTGCCACGCCACCAGGCCTGGAGCTTAATGGCTGCTTTAGTTTTTTTCTTCTTTAACTTTTTCTAGACAGAGATAAGAGAGATTACTCAAGGACCTTCCTGCTACCAACTTTCAGGGTATTCTTGGAAGGGCACTGGGCTGTCCTCTAAACACTGGCTCCTCCTCGGAGAGTGTTCTGGGATCTAGCAGAACTCTGACGAGGAGCCGGACCTTGTCGGGACCCTTCCCTGCTTTTGTGGGCACATCACCCCATTCTCAGTGTCTCAGTTCCTCTCTTTTCTTTTCTTTTTTTCCTTCTTCGACATAGGGTTTCTTTTTGAGATAGCCAGCCTTGGCTGTCCTGGAACTGGCTCTGTAGACCAGGCTGGCCTCAAACTCGCAGAGATCTGCCTGCCTCTGCCTCCTGAGTGCTGGGATTAAAGGCATGCGCCACCACCGCCTTGGCTGTTCCTTTTTCATCCCGTGTATTCTACACTGGCTTTGGACTCCTTATATAGTGGAGGATGACCTTAAATTTCTGTTCTTCCTTCCTGCCTCCATCTTCCAAGGGCTGGGATCACAGGGGATGTACCTCCACCCTTGGCTAATAACCTTTTCTTGCCTACCTCATTGCTGCCTAAATTAAGAGAAAACCAGAGTCACCAGAAGGGTGTGCTGGGGATAGGAGGAGCTTCGGTGTAGTTACACCACACGGTTAGCGTTTGCTGATTCAGGAACATTGGCTCTCCCAATGCTTTCGTCTGGTGTCTTCCTTCCTTCCTTCCTTCCTTCCTTCCTTCCTTCCTTCCTTCCTTCCTTCCTTCCTTTCCTTTTTTTGCTGACTCCCCCCCCCCCCCCCCNCCCCCCCCCCCCCCCCCCCATCATCTGATTGCTCTCTGTGACAGTCCTGTGTTTTCACTTCAACACTGTGGCTTGTAGCACTTCCTTCCTGTTCTACAACCAACCTGTCTGTATTTAGACCATTCTGCTTAATCCACAGTACTGGTGCTCCGGACTTCCAGCCCCAGGCAGTTTTTGATGGTTTCCCTCTTTCCAGTCAGCACGTCACAGTCAAACTCAGATCCAAGAGCCCAGACCGAGGAGGAGGAGACAGAGTGGAATGAGCAAATACTGACTTGACTCTTGGTCATTTAGACTTGGATGGATATGAGGTGGAATCCCACTTGCCTAGCACATGGATACAACTGACTTGGAGTTCTCTTAACTGTATGTGTAATTCAACTCACTTGTTCTCTTACCTTTAGCTTCTTCTTCTTTTGAATAATTTCATTTTCTTCTTCAATTACAGGCACACTCAAACTGCTCTTGGACTGTCACCGAGATTAAAAGGGAATACATGTGCATGAGTAAAGGCTTTCTCTGGACGGCCCTGTCAGAAGCGCCCACCGCTTCAGTATCCCCTCCCTTCCCTAGGCCTGTGAAGCCCAGCGTGGTGCACACGCCTACCCTGACCGCCTGCTAGGTCTGGTCCTGGCTCTTACACAAAACTTAAGCGCCATCACCAGCCTGCCTCTAGATGGTTCATTAGCCCCCATTTCCTGCTTCCCAGCGTCAGGTATTAGTGACCCAAGAGAGGGGAAACTGAATTCACAATGGCTTTGTGATACAAGATTAAGATATTTGCCTCAGCCTCTCCCCCTTCTACTTCCTTATCACATATGTTCTGTTGTCTCTCCTCTCTTAAGTCCCTTCTCCCAGTAGCCCCTCTCTACCTTCCTTACCTCAACAGGCATTCCAAGGGGCGGGCGTGGGGTGGGGACCACAAATCTAAAGAGCCAAAGCTAGTATCTGCATATGTGAGAAGGCATGCATTTGTCTTTCTGAGCCTGGGCTACTTCACGCAGAATTTTCTAGTTCCACCTATTTACCTGCAAGTCTTATAATTTCTTTTCTTTCTTTCTCTTCTTCCTTTCTTTCTTCCTTTCTTTCTTTTTTTTTTTTTTACGATTGGATAAAATTCAGTTCTGCATCTACCACATCTTCACTATCTGTCATCAGCTGGTCGGGATCCAGGCTGACTGTTTCCTAGCTAGTGTGAATAGGATATTGGTCAACATGAATGTACAAGGATCTCTGTAGTCAAAACTAGAAGCTTCAATTCTTCTCGCTAGCTTTCGTAATCCTCAAAGGTTGTGTGCACACTGAATGAGTGGGAAAACCCTGTATACTAGCATCGGAGAGAAGCGATCAGTAGTCTTACCCGGCTGTGAACCCTGCAAGCTTCAAGAACAAGTGACCTTCTATGCACACACACAGATACACACTAGTGCAGTGCAACCAACATTATGGGAATAACCAACCGCTTTCAGGTTGGGTTTTAAGCCCATTCTCCAAGATGGAATTCATATCTGGCATTGTTAACTGGGTCAAGAGTCCAGAGCAGGATAGGTCATAGGCCCTAGGGGAGGACTTGGTAATCTCCTTCTGCTAAATGGTCATGCTAATAAACATCCCCCTAAGCTCTTATTTTTATACCCACAGATTAGTGCAACTCTCAACCCTTATCAAAGACGCTTCTTTTTACAGTAGCTGGAGATGAATCCAGAGACCCAGAACCCACGGAGAAGGCCATTAAAGTTCTACCATAAATAGGCACCAAGACTTGATAGGTCCAATCTGAATCTCTCAAAACTTAGAAATTCAGATGTTACTCATTAAAAACTATCCTAAAAGATAAGAATTTTTATCAAGAATTTCACAGGGACAGTTTGACTTGGTGGCAGACATCTGTAAGCCCAGCACTGCGGTATTTCTTATGAGAATCATGTGTGTGTTCCATTTTGTCTGGATTCTTTCTCTTACTGAATGTTTTCACAGTTTCCCGTGTTGCAGTATGCATCAGTCCCTGATAATTTTCTATGGCCAAGTAATATTCCACTGCAAGGACATGCCATGTTCTGTTCATGTGCACACCCTTTTCACGGGCATTTATGCTATTGATTTTCACTTGGGGCTATTAGGAATAATGCCGCTGTAAACACGCATGTACAGACTTTCTATGAACACCCTTTCATTTCCCAATAGCTAGGGCTTGAACTTCTGGCCCGTGGATGAACTCTGAGGACTCATTTGAGGAACAGAGGCCTGTTTTCCATATGGATCAACCACTTAAAATTTATGCTAGTGCGTATGTAAGCTCGTATTCTTTCTTCTTTGTGTCGGCACTTGTTACTGCCTGATGTTTTGATAAATTAAACTCTGTAGGGGTGTCATCTTAAGTTTTTAATTTTTCTTTTTAGAATTACGTTTTAGATCAGCTGGGGATGGAGGGGATCTGGGAGGAGTTAGAGGAAGGGCTGGGGAGGGAATGATTGAAAACAGTATAAAATTCTCAAAGAATTAATTTAAATTTAAATAATCCAAATAATTTCTCTTACTTCTCATAACTAATTCCCTTTTTTGTTTCATGACCCCCCCAGCCTTATAAATACACATGTAGGTATTGATACAAGCACATTTTTTTTGTTTTGTTTTGTTTTTTTCGAGACAGGGTTTCTCTGTGTAACAGTTCTAGCTGTCCTGGAACTAGCTCTTGTAGACCAAGCTGGCTTTGAACTCACAGAAATTCGCCTGCCTCTGCCTCCCAAGTGCTGAGATTAAAGGCGTGTGCCACCACCGCCCGGCTCGTGTATTTTTAAATCTAGGTTCTATATGTATTTATTATTTTTTTTTAAGATTTATTTATCTACTATGTATACAGTATTCTGCTTGCACGTATGCCTGCAGGCCTGAAGAGGGCACCAGATCTCATTATAGATGGTTGTGAGCCACCATTGTATTTAATTTTTTTTAAAAAAAAACAAGTTCTTACTATGTATCCCTGGATGTCCTGGAACTCTCTTTGTAGACCAGGCTGGCCTTGAACTCACAGAGATCCAACTGCCTCTGCCTCCCCAAGTGCTGAGATTAAAGTCTCATATTGCCTCCTCTGATATGTTTTAACTCTTTTTTTTAAATATTTATTTTATTTATTATGTATACAATATTCTGTCTGTGTGTATGCCTGCAGACCAGAAGAGGGCACCAGACCCCATTACAGATGGTTGCTGGGAATTGAACTCAGGACCTTTGGAAGAGAAGGCAATGCTCTTAACCTCTAAGCCATTTCTCCAGCCCTATGTTTTAACTCTTTTGGAACTGATGATGTTAAATATACTTTGTGTGCTTATTGGTCATTTGTGTGTCTTTGGAGAAATGTCTTTTTAGATCTTTCCTATTTTATTCATTAGAATCTTCTAAGAGGTGATTAAAATAACTAAAAAAACATGGTAACATAGGATCAATTACATAGCTGAGGGTAGAGACACTTGTACAGAGCTGGTGAGCTGCACTTCATGTGAACCCACAAGGTGGCAGCAGAGAACTGATTCCCCAACTCTGGAAGCCGTCTTCTGACCTCAAGCCAGAAGGCTGGCTGTGGACACCTCACACACCCCGACAGCATCCCACACACACCTAAAATAATAATGTATGAATCAAATTTAAATTAAAGCTTAAAACATAAATGGCAAATAGCAGCACAGAAGAGTTAGGAACCTGATTCGTCCAATAGTCCCACGGACACTTTAAAGGAAATAATCACATTTAAAAAAATAGCAGTGTTGTCAAAGCACAGCAAACAGGCTTTAGAAATTAAGAACTACAAAGAATTTTTTAAAATTGCTGGCATATTTAGTGATTCTGTAGAGCAACTGAGCCAGGGACCCCCCAGTAGCCCAAAGGCTCTTCCAGAGGATTTTCTTTGTCCCCTTTTTAAAATTAAAAATCTTTAAAATTCCAGACACGTGCCCTGTATTACATCCTCTCCCTTCTCTTTCCCTCCCACCCTTCCTGCATCCTCCTTGCCCTGCGCCCTCTCAAATTCGTGGCTTCTTTTCCTTTGTTACACACATACACACATCACGCATACACATTCATAAACAATGAGACCATTTAGTGTCGTTTGTATGTACGGTTTTCCTGGCTAAGCACTTATTATTGGATGGCCAATTGGGGAGCTTTTCCCTGAGGAAGACTAATTTTCCCTTGCTGTCATTAATTGCCCACAGCTTTCCATCTAGGGGTGGGCCTTATGAGATTTCCTTAAAGTCACAGTAGTTTGGGGGCAGGGGACAGCAGGTAGAGACAGCAAGAGAAGTTGAGGCAGAAGGAGAGGGGTAAAGGGGAGGGGATGAATTCTGTTGTAAAGCTGGACTCCAGACTGTCATTCTCAGTGTGGAAAAGGACTCCTCCATCCTGTATGGAGTCAGCCTGTAAGGTCCTCCTGGGCATTGGACTCCTCCATCCTGTTGGGGGCACGTATGTTGAAATCTTCTTGCCTCTATCCTGTCAAGAGTCAATCTGTGAAGGTCCTCCTGGGCATCGGACTTCTCCATCCTGTGAGCTGAGATCAGGATGTCAGACTCAGTCTCTAAGTGTAACACAATCCTTAGACAGCAACAGCGAATCTTATTCTTGTTCCTTCCATCCTGTTTGGCTTTCCACTCTTTTGATAAGAGTTTAGGTTTTCTCTCCCCCTTTCTCATGAAGAAACTGTTTAAAACTACTCAAAACATGAATAGGTTTTTAAAATTTGTTTCCAGTTTTAGGTCTGGGTTTTCAATATGATTCGTTAGGACTTTTCCCACTGGAAAATGAGGAGGAACATGAACACTATAGAGATTTTCCAAAGGTCAGGATCATGGTATAACGGGATCACTGCCTGACCCAGCCTTACACAGCAGAGAGTCCCAAGCTCGCCAAAAATGCTGCTCCTGATGGCACACACTTCCACAAAGATGCACAGCATGTGTGCAGTGGTACCTGGGAGAAAGTGGATGAGGTTGATGGTTATCAAGTTGATAGCCTCTTCAGTGGGATTTGCTAGGTATACTCTTGTCAAGTGCATGAGCAGCATCCTTGGGACTTGTTTAGAAGTCCCTAACAGCCAGATCCTTCATGATCTGTGTTCTATGGCTGTGCAGAGACGCCATGGCCATGGCACCTCTTGTAAAGGAAAGCAACGAGTTGGGGCTTGCTTACAGTTTCAGAAGTTTAGTCTGTTATCAGGTCAGCAGTGCACAGAGGCACAAAGGCAGACATGGTGCTGGAGAAAAGGGCAGGCCACATCTGGATCCGCAGGCAGCAGGAAGAGGGAGGGAGGGAGCCACTGGGCCTGGCTTGAGCTTTTGAAACCTCAAAGACCACCCCAGTGACATTCTTCCTCCAACAAGGCCACACCTATCCCAACAAGGTCACACCTGCCCCAACAAGGCCGCGCCTACAACTCCTTTCAAACAGTGCCACTCCCTAAGCATTGAAATACAGGAGCCTACGGGGGACATCCTTATTCAAGCCACCACAGTCATCTTTCATAGTTTGGTTCTCTCAAGCATTTGAGCATCACTGTGCTTAAAGCCACCGTACCCAGCAGCTTCTGCAGAGAGATGCAGGGACTGAACGAGCATGCTGCTCTCTGGCAGCCCTGGCCCAGGTCCTCCCTGCAGTCCATAGCTGCTGCGCAGGGCTGGACTTTGGTAATTATGAGTTGTTTTGGACTAGACACAAGTTCATGGTCAGATCTAAGATTTGTGGAACTTTTTCTGTCATTCTATGGGTAGACTAACACATGCACAAGCAGGAACGACCTGTGTTTGGAGCCCTGTCACCGACATAGCCAACCCAGGATGGTGGTACACCTGTAATCTCACTGCTTGGGGGATACAGCCAGGAGGATCCCATTGCGTACATGGGAGTGAAGTCCTCTCTTCAGGACACTCCCTTCCTCTGGATATGTCCCCTGAAGCCTGGTTTTGGGTCATATGGTAGTTCTATTTTGATTTTTATAAAGGATCTTCCATATTGTTTCCCATATGGCTGTCCCAATTTTTCTCTACACCCTTGCCCACACTTTCCCCCCTTGTCTTTGGATGATAACCATCCTAACAGATGTCAGGTGATGGCTCACTGCGATTTTGATCTTGGTTTCCCAGATGGCCAGTGATGTTAGCTACCTTTTCATGGACCTGCTGGCCAGCTGTGTTTTCTTTGGAAGAAAATGTCTTTTTAGGTTTTTCTTCCTTTTAATTTTCTCCCCTCCCGACCCCGATTTTTAAACTCTGAGTGTGTGTGCCTACAGCATCTTCTTTCACAGCGTGTTTTGTCTGTTCGGGGTCTTTTGTGTATGCATTTTAGTTGAGATCTTTTTTTAAATGCCGAGAACATTCCCATTATATTTTGAAACGCTGAATTAAAAAGAAAAGCTCTCAGTTTTAGAAATATTGTATTAAGGGTGAAATGTCATTTTAGGAATTTGAGAAAGAATTCTAATATCAGATAAAGCTCCAAAAAATAGACAGAGATGGGAAAAAGCACACAAAGCAGTTAAAATTATCTCCTCACTGCAAAAAAAAAAAAAAGTTGATGCTGCTATTTAATTATTTAATAAGGAGTGGTTGAGCTTCTTGGTACCATTACAGATGAAAGTTTTTTAAACATCTATGGAGGTTTTGCTGGGATCATAACTGGGCTGATGTCCTCTTGTGTGTATTCTGCAGCCGGATGGAAATATGAAAGGGGAATACCATGGCTCCGTTTGAAATGTCTCCCACAGGATCATATTTTGAATGCTCGGTCCCCAGCTGGCAGAGCTCTTTTGAAAGGCTGCAACTTTGTTAGGGGCTGGGTCTTAGCTGGAGGAAGCAGCTTGGTGGGGTGAGTGAGGCTTTGAAGGTCGTAGCCTGGCTCCTGATTCCCCTTGTGGTTTGCCTCCTGATCTGCACGATGGTAGCAGCCTCTACCACACAGTCCCCTGTCAGGAGCTGAGAAGCCCTGCCATGATGTACTAAAACCCTAAAATGGTGAGACCTAAAAATAAACCCTGAAATAGGGTCTCTCTACGTAGCCCAGACTGGTCTTGAACTTGTAACTCTCCTGCTCCCACCCCCATAGTTCTAGGATTATAGATATGCAATACCATGCCCGATGCTTTTCTTTCTTTCTTTCTTTCTTTCTTTCTTTCTTTCTTTCTTTCTTTCTTTCTTTCTTTCTTCCTTCCTTCCTTCCTTTCTTTCTTTCTTTCTTTCTTTCTTTCTTTCTTTCTTTTTTTTCTTTGTTTAGCTTTCAATATGTGTCCTGGGAAGCAACTATTCAGTTTGGGACATGGCTAGGGTAGCCCAGCATTTGAATTTGTCTATTTGATGAACACTACCAAAGTGGCCAGTAAGTTCTATAGCTATACTAGGTCAACACTCTTGTCTTGATCTTGGACTAAAACTCAAAGAGTGATACCTCTGCTGAACAAATAAGCTATAACCATTTAACTTATAGACTGTCAAAATTTTAATTTTATTTTATATTTTGAGGCAGAAGTTCATGTAGCGGGGCTGGCCTTGAACTCCTGATCCTCTTGCTTCCACCTTCCACATGCAAAGATTCCAGGCATGTGTCACCATATCTGGCTCAACATACATTTATTTATTATTCTTGTTTTGTTTTTTGAGACAGAATCTCACTATATAACTCTGTATGTCCTGGAACTCACCATGTAGACCAGGCTGGCCTCAAACAGACGTCCACCTGCCTCTGCTTCCCAAGTGCTGGGATTAGAGGTGTGCACCACTATGCCCAGTTCTATATTTATTTTTGAATATTTTTTAGGGAGAAAAAATATTTTAACAAACTTAGCAGTATAAAATATTTATAACATAGATAAAAATACATGCAATAGACCATTTCTAGAATACTATAATGCAGCTTTATAACTATATAACAATATGCATTTTACCTGTACACAAAAAGGGCCCCTTTCTGGGTACCCTTAGTGCATGGAACAGAAAGTTTTTCTCTATCAGTGTCCAGGCTATGTCATAAAATGCACAGAATACCAAAGATACTAGAAGAAGCCATGTTATAGACAACTCATGCTTGGGGCTTTGGAGACAACTCAGTCAGTAAGCATTGGTGTCACAAATATGAGAACCCTAACTCCCATAAATGAAAGCCAGCTGTGATGGTGTGTGCCTGCAGTTCCAGGGATAATGAGATAGGAAGCAGAGATCACACATGTGGGGCTGGTGGGGCGTGTCTGTAACCCTAGTGCTGGGACAGCAGAGGTAGGTAGATCCCTGAGCTCATCGGCCAGTCTGTTTAGCCAATGCATGAGCCTCATGTTCATCGAGAGACCTGTCTCAAAAATAAAAGGTGTAGAGTGATGAGGCTCCCTACTGCTGGCCTCTGGTTCACATCCACACGTGTGTGCAATGTCTGCATACGCCCAAACAAAAAGGTACCTAAGTGAAAACACCGATTCCTTCCTTTAGAGGAAGGATTAACGAGGTTACTTCTTGAGGCATACCATCCTGCAAGAACCAACGAGCATGAGCCTGGCTTGGATACCTTCACTTTTCTAAAATGCCTCATGGTATGGCTACCGCTGAAGATGAGAGTTCATTCCTCTCTGCGTTACAATAGAAGGAGCATTTATACAGCTTTAGAGAGTATTATTATAGAGTAACTGACTAGTGAAAATCATTCTTAGCCCTGAGTTTTCTCTGTTGTTTATGCTCTAACTTTTTACCTTATTTATTGTTTTTTTGAGACAGAGTTTCTCTGTGTAGCCCCGGCTGTCCTGGAACTCACTATGTAGACCAGGCTGGCTTCAAACTCAGAGATCTCTGCTTGCTTCTGCCTCCTAAGTGATGGGATTAAAGATGTGCCTCCCCCCCCCCACCTGGCTTCCAGTTTTTTAAAAAGCTTTAAAGGTTTATTTTATTTTTCATCATGTGTTTATGTGAGTGTTGCTCCAACAGAGGCCAAAAGAGTGTCAGATCTCTTGGAACTGGGGTAACAGGGGGCTCTAAGCCTCCGGACACGGGCACTGGGCACTTAACTCCAGTCTTCTGCAAGAGTAGTATACGCTCTTAAGCACTGAGCCATCGCTCCAGTGCCCCCTGTTCTAATTTAACTAAACTAGTATCTATCAATGAGGTCTGCCCTGAGGGTTGTTTTTCATGTGTTGCTGAGGACAGAGCTCTTGTGCTGGAAATGCATTTCCTCATTGAGCTGCATTTCCCAGCCCCTGATGGTGTTTTTAATTGCAACTTAGTGTGTACACTAAGAGTTTTAGAGGCTGTGTCATTAAGAAAACAACTTCCAAAAGAAAAAAAATAAATTTTCTTGCTTGAAAAATTGACTTTTAAAGTTAGTATACAAAGTAATGGATTCTACTACCGTGTATTATTGTATTGTCTTTATCTTCCAAAGTTTGTGTGTGTGTCTGTGTTTATGTGTGTGGATTAGAGGACAATTTGCAGGAGTCAGTTCTTCCCTTCTACCACGTGAGTCTTGGGATTGAATTTGGCTTGACAGGCTTGGCAGCAAATGATTTTACCCAACGAACCATCTCTCTGGTCCCATACTGAGGGATGAAGAAGTTTATTGGAAAAATCATTAGAATATCATCTTACTCAGAAAGAATATGAAAAATGGTACAACCTGGATTCAGTAAAGGTTTTTATCATCAAAGCCCATGAGAATATGAAGAACGATTAATCATTTCCCCCAAATCTTTATATGGGCAAGGTGTGTAAATTTGGCAAGACTTAGTATGGTTGGCAAGAGAGGCAACCTCTGGACCTTCAGTGTTCTGAAATAGGTTAAATACAACATGCAGCGTCTCTGTGTGCAGTTTTATCTTTTCTCAGTACCCTTGGGACCTTCTGCCTTCCAAGGCTTGCACTGAGTTCTCTTCCTCTTTCCTCCACTCTCTTTATGTTAGGGAGAGTTTTTATCTTTGCTTTACCGGAGAGTGAGTATCTTGGTAACTTTTCTATTGCCATGACAGAACACCATGACCAAGACAATTTATAAAGGAAAGTATTTAACTGGGAATCACAGTTCCAGAGGGCTACAGTCCGTGTTCATCATAATGGGGCACACAGCAGCAGGCAGGCAGGCTTGGCATTGGTGTCGGCCACTGAGAGCTCACATCCGGTCCGCTAGCATGAGGCAGAGAAAGAGAGCTAACTGGGAAATGCACCTCCTCCAACGAAGTCCCTCCTCCTTATCCTTCTCAGACAGTTCTACCCGCTGGGGACCAAGCATTCAAACACATGAGCCTATGGGGCCATTCTCATTCAGACCACACATTGGGTTGAGAGTCTATAGCCTCACCTCACTTCCAGCTTGCTCTCTCCGCTTCCTCTTGGCGGTGAAAAATGAGATTTTCAGCTTCCTGCTCCTGCCACGGTGCTTGTCGCTTGATGCCATGCTTCCTCCGTGACACGCTGGACCTTAATCCCTCTGGAACTGTAAACCCAAACACACTCTTTTTTCCGTAAGTGGCTTTGGATCATTGTGTTTTATCCCAACAGAAAAGTAACGAATACAGTGACCATGGCTGTGCTCTCCTTCTGCGATATTTTCATCAGTCAACAGGAAAACAGGAGTCGCCGCCAGCAGCAAGCCTGTAGCGGCTGCTTCTCCCCTGCTGATGCTAGCAGCTACTAGTTTATTTATTACCTCTCTTGGGCATTTTATATAAATTTTATATAACTGCGCAATATGTCTGTCTTTCACTTCACATAATGTTTTCAAAGTCGGCTTATGTCGCAGAACTTCTGTTTTCCACATTTGTCCTCCCCCCTCCCCCTCTTCTCTTTCTGTGTGAATGTGTGCACACGTGCCACAGTGTGTATGTGGAGGTCAGACAGCAACCTTTCCCCCTCATTCTTACATGTTTTTCTAAGAATTGTGGGCCACATATTTTGATCATATTCACCTCCTCCCTCCTCCTAAATCCACCCCCACTTTCAACTGACTCAACTATGCCCCCCCCATCCAGTACAATCTATGCTGCCGTGTGTGTGTGTGTGTGTGTGTGTGTGTGTGTGTGTGGCCTTCGCTGGAGCGCAGTCAGCTCACCAGGTCACACCTTAAACACATGCTCGCCCTCCCAGGGGCTAACAATTGCTGACGAGCTCTCTTTAGCCACGGGGGGAACTTCATGCCCACAGCTTCTTTGCATGCTGGAATTTTGTCCGACGGGGGGCTTACGCAAGTTTTGTACACACTGTCTCAGTTGCTCTGAATTCATGTGTGAAGTGCCTTGCTATTGTCCAGAAGCACTATTTCCGGGTAGTCACACATCACCTCCGAGTCTTGTAATCCTTCTGTCCTCCTTGAACAGTAATCCCCGAGCCTTGGGGGGAGGGGCTATGCAATAGAAGTTATAATCAGGGCGGAGCCTTCTTCAGGTGTTCTCTGTGCCTTGCCCAGTTGTAGAACTCCATGTTAATTGGTATCTACTGTCAAAAGAGGCTTTTCCGATGAGGACTGATAGATACACTAGTCTAGGGATATAACCACAAGCCATGCGGGGTCAGTTTAAAACTGTGTCTATTGACCAGAGTCATAGGGGTAGGTTTGCCTACAGGGAGTATGAATTGTCTAGCCCTAGGTTCAGGGCCCCAGTAATAATGCCAGGTATGCGATTCAACTTGTGAAGTGGGCCTTAAATTCAGTAAGGAAGTGGCTGCCCACTCATGACGGGCATCTCTGGACGGGCCAGTCATTGTTGTAGCTCACAGGGTCAGAGAGTAGGTGAGAATGGTGGTTCCTTCTGGCCTCTGGTGTGTGTGCAGCATCTTCCAGCTTCGTGAAAGCTGGATGGTGTGGGGGATGCTTCCTTGTGAGTAGCGGCCTGATAGTTCCTTCTTCTATGACTCAAGTGTGTGGTAGCTTTCCTCCTGTCTTACCAAGAGCGTTGGTGAGATCCAGTGATATCTGGGGGCCCGTGTGACTCATTGCCAACAACTTCAAAAGATGTGACCCATTGCTAGTGTTGGGCTTTTTTTATCCTGTTGTGTCTTGGTGGGGCATTTTTGCCCTGGAATGGGGTAATTCTATTTAAACTCTTTATATATGTATATGTATGTATATGTGTGTGTATATGTATATGTGTATGTATAGATTTCAAGACGCTTCTTCAGTGGTAGGCTTCCATTAGTTATCCCTCCTGTATTCCTTCCTCTACCCTTTCCTCCAGTCTGCCTCTCAGAGGACAACCTATGGGAGTCAGTTCTCTTCTTCCAACATGTGGATTCTGGGAATTGAGCTCAGGTCTTCAGGCTTGGAGGCAAGTGCCTTTATCTACTAAGCCATGTCACCAGCCTACGTTCCCCACTTTTTGATAAGGCTTCTCCTCTCCATGTAGCCCCGTTTGGACTCCCTGACTCAGCCTTGCAAACACCGGCATTGCACTATCACATGTGGTTTCTGTTTAGCTTTTCGAGGAACTGACAAATGCTTTCCTCCTATCTAACAGGACTTTCCTTTTCGCTCGTCTGGTGTAGGGATGAAGCAGGATAGAGTGAGGCTCGTGCAAAGATGGAGAGAGAGGGTCACGGGGATAAAGCTGTCGAGGATACTGAGGGGCAAGAGCATGAATGGCGTGGCCGAGAGTGCAATTGTTATGTCTGTCTCTCAGGAGTCCTAATTAGATTTTAGAAGATACTTGCCTAGCGTGTAACAGTTAGCAAGGGCCAGATAATATGCTGGGCTTAATGTTTAGTCTATTGCAACAACCTTGCTTTACAGGCCCAAATATTCTGACCTTTCTCCTAGAAGAGAGGAGGCAAGAAAACAACAAAAAATTGGAGCTGGGGTGGTAAATGTATTATTTCTGTGCTGTGAGGGGGTGCTTATAATGATTATGCCAAGTTCTCAGCAGTAGGCAGAGAAACCGCATTTCTCATATATTGCGTTAGGAACGTGAAGCGTAGTCCCTTTATTCCAACTTCAAAAGACAGGGATGGTCCCAGGGTTGTGTAGTGGGATGCCTGGCTCTGCGTGGATACAGACATCTTGAGCCTCATTTCTTGGTTTGGAGGTACCAGGCTCTGTGGGGATGGGGAAGGTCTTCTCTTAAGGAGAGGAAGAGATGTAGTCTGAATCCTTGGGGTGGGGGTGCCCCATGGCACGACAATCACTGAGACTCACCAAACCAGGTTAGGTATTTATTGAGGCACTGGAGCCAATTCTTTGTGCTACAGGCCTTTAGAGGGATAGAATTTCAATGTGGAACTCAGGCTGCTTGGAAACAACTCCATATTGAACCTGAAAGATGTCATCGTTCCGGAAGGTAATGTGGCTCTCGAGGGACTGGACCACACAGAGCGCGTTGCACATTTGACTGAAATAACGACGGCACTGCCACATGCGAACCCAGGCCTGGAGCCTGACTGCCGCCTCTTCCTCAATGACGTATATCCTCAGCAGCGCCAGCCGCCGTTTAAGAAGCTGCCTGTGCAGGATGTTCCTCCACCAGCACTGGATCACCCAGGCATTGAGGGCAGCAGTCAGCAGAGTTTGCCTCACCAGGAATCCGCGCCACAAGGCCTGGATCTTACTGGCTGCTTGGATCCTTTTTCCTTGGCGTTGTTTTGGACGTTGGCGCTAACCAAGCAAAGGACAGGATGCTCAGTGGATGGGGATACAGGAGAGGTAGATAGAGTTTTTGTCTCCACCTCTGTCTTGTCCATGGCTGTGGCCATATCTACAGCCATGGCTCATCTTCTGAGCCACAGTGGCCTCCTTTATAAAGTGAGGTATGTTTATGCTGTGGTGTTCACAGGGGATCCAGGGGAAAGACTTTCTGACCCTGAAGACCTTATGAGGTCTTCCTAAAGAAGAGCCATAGGATTAGAGCCTGAATCTCAGTTCTGAACCAGTACACAATCCCGCTAGATAGCACAGTTCCCAGGTTCTTCTCTCACCTCATTTCCACCTCTCTCAATCACGCGGGCCCACGGCAACCCATCTACCTTCTCACTTCCCACTGCTCCGTGTGCAGGATAGAGGGGATTTAAGGGACAAGAGAGAGGAAACCTGAGCTGACTGGATGGGAATGAAGATGGTGCCTCCTTTCTACAAATACTGAGGTCAGGGTTTTGGGGGTTCTGGTTCATTTATGGTCCTGGGTTACACTCACCTTTGGTTTCCTCTCTTCCTCAAATTGACTGATTTCAGATTCAGACTTCTGCAGTTAAAACAGAGAGGCATACGTAAAAGCCAGCACCCATGCAAAATCCGTGCAGCCCAGCTCCCCAGTCTTTCCCAGGGGTCCCTTGAGGAGCCCATGACTTCCTTCTGCCAAGTAGCATCCCCCAACCCTAGGTCAGTAAATCCGACAGTCTTACACAACATTGAGCGCCCATGGCAGAGAGAAGGGACTCAGGTGATCATCCCCTTTCGGTTGCTGCTCATCCGACTCCAGCAGGCTCAGGGTGGCTGATGGGGGTGATGCCCATGATGTCATAAGGGCAACTGTGACTCAGGAACCAGGTTGCCTTCTCCAGTATCACAGGTTTTGGATGAAGAAGAAATATCTTTCTGTTTCTAGCCAGGAATGAATTAGGGTCTTTAGGGTGTGAATATGTCCTATCCCAAAGATGAGTTATGGTTTGGCTACACCAGGCACATTCTGTCATTGATCACTGAGGGCAGTGGCTCATGTTGTGACAGGAAGGTACATGGGTCTCTGACCTCCCTGACTGATATTCTCCTTCTACTCTCTGCCTTTCCTTTGGGGTAGGGGAAAACCTTCTTTTAATGGATGCAGAATGTGTGTAGAGGGTGCTTTATTCATCTCCTCATTGCTGTGGTGAGATACCTGGGTGCTGGGACTCAGTTTTCTGCAAGAACAATAAATGCGCTTACCTGTTGAGTTCTGTGTTGCTTGGTTTTATGCCAACTGGACACAGGTTAGAGGAGGGGCCTGAGATGCCTCCATCAGATCAGGCTGTAGGCAAGTCTGTAGGGCACTTTCTTTGAAATCGATGTGGCCCAGCCCACTGTGGGTGGTGCCATTCCTGGGATGGTGGTCCCGTGTTCTATATGAAAGCAGATTAAGCAACCCATGAGGAACAAGCCAGTAAGCAGCACCCCTCCATAGCCTCTGCACCAGCTCCTGCCTCCAGGTTCCTGCCTTGTTTGAGTTCCTATCCTGACTTCCTTCAGTGATGAGCAGTGATGTGTAACCGTAAGTCAAATAAACCTTTCCTCCCCAACTTGTTTTTGACCATGTTGTTTTATCACAGCAATAGTAACCCTAGCAAAGAAAGAAATTGGTACCAGGGGTGGGGTACTGATGTGACAGACCTGACTATGTTGTTTTTTAGGAGGACTGTGGAAGGACGTTGGAACTCTGGGTAGAAGAGCCATTGAGTGCTGCGAGCTCAGTGAGCTGTTCTGTGGAAGCTTGGAAGATAAGACTGTTGGGGGCAATGCGGATGAAGGAGGCCTGGCTTGTGAAGTTTAAAGATTCTATTGGGGCCATTTGTTATTTTGAATTAAGATTCTGCAGCACAGAGAAGCTGCTACAGAGGTGGCCAAGGTTGTACCTTATGCTGGCAAGTGAGCCTAGTAGTGTAAGAGTCACCCAGGTGGGACTGGTTTTGAAGGCATGAGGGGATCACAAGCTGAGACTTGGCACTGTGAGAGGCAAGGATAGGTCGTTGGTGAAGGTGCAGCTTCAGTCGCAGCCGAAGGATTGAAGGAGTCATGTGGAGAAGCTGGGGCTTCACCATACAGAGAGACTATTGGTGAAAGTGCAGCCCAGCTGTAGCAGAAGACCTCAGCATTTTGGAAATGCCAGTACCATGGGACGACCACTAAGAACAGTGGCAGTGGTAAAGCAGAGCCAGTCAGAGCCTAGATGATAAGCTGTGCGTGCTGCAGGGGGTGGAGCCAGAGAAGTGACCTAAGCCCTGGTGTGGAATAATCCTTTTGTACACTGGGAGGGTGTTTTGTTCTCGTTGGTTTAATGAAGAGCCAACTGGCCAATAGCTAGGCAGATGTAAGAGCTAGTTAGTAATAAGCCTAAGCTATCTGCCAAGCATTTATAATTAATAAGTCTCTGTGTATTTGGGGAACCAGTGGTACTGATGAAAAAACTCCACCTACAAAGCCCCTTGGAAGAGCCAATAAGATAGTGAGTGGATACCAGACATTGAACATCGAGTTAGTTACACAATTTGAACTTGGTTTTGCTTCGATTTGATTGTGACTGTGTCCTGGTTCTTTCCTCTTGAAATAAGAAATCCCAGACCACTGATGTCTACTTGGCCTCAGGTGGCAGTGCAGGTCACTCACATTGATATGTCATCGTCTCCACTGCCCCGCGCCCCCAGCATGGCTCACAGGTGGCAGCACAGACCATTAACATCCCTATGGCCTTTGGTGGGAGCAAGAAACATGAGACACCAACATGGCTTCCAGTGGCAGTGTGGACCATACATGTGTTTCGAGGAGGCCCAATTCAGAAAATGAACTGTTCTCCATCTCGGACATCCTGCTGTTGCTCAGAGTCATGACAATCGTGCAGCTGGGTAGCAACTTCTGAAGCAGAGCTTGCGAGAGCTTTAGGCTACTGCCACCACCCTGCCGGCCCTACTCCACAATGACACGCGCCCCAGTCACCATCCAGCATGCATTGCTGCTCCTCTCGGCCATCTTTCCCACATCTCGATTGCTCGTTTACTTATTCCTCTAAACGGCACTGAGGACTGCAGTGTGTCGTATTGTATTGTTTTTCCCAAACAGGTTTACATAAAAATACTTATTGCAATGAGTTATTGGTCTGGTTCAAGGTTTCTGGTTTCTGAAACACCATAAATACTGGACTATCTATGGAATTCCTCTCAGATATTCTGTTGGTGCCCAGAGTCAGGGAGATCTTGTGGCTTGGGAGGGCATCTGGTGACAAGATCCTCAAGTGCTCTAGGCCACTTGGATACCTCTCTGCTCTTGATAAGGCCACCCTGCCACCTCACCCAGTACCATATCATTGTGCTTGTGGGCCTTGGGCAGCACGGTGGCCCCATGTTCTCCTCCACCAAGAAGGGCGTACAGTAGCCTCTCCAGGCTGTGGGACCGGTGCACTGGTCTGAGCATTCCAGAAGAGGACGCAGGTTGCCAGCAACCACTGCCATCTTGAATTGATCTTCAAATATTTTTTGAAAAAGGTCCTAATAACAGAAATTACAGATGTGCTGGAGCACGTCTGCTGGAGATACTGCCGTTCTCTCTGACGCTCTTCTCTGAGTTTCTTGCCTCAAGACAGCGCTCTGGCTCAGCAGGCTGGTGCAGCTCCTCCATTACAGTTGCAGGGGTAACCGGGAGAGCCGATTCTCTCACTTTGAACCTGCAGTATCACAGACCAACATCCCCATTCCTAAGGAGAGGAACAGGAGACTACCACAGATCAAGGGGACACTTGCTGAAGGATTTCAAGACTGAACCCCAGCAGGGTAAATGCTACCTCTTGTAGCACTGTGTCTGGCACTTGGAGAATGTGCTGGCAGGGTGCAAACCTCAGAAGGTTTGGGTACCACCTACCTCTCTGGCTGCAACCCACATGTCTCAGTCTAGCAGACTTGCCCTATTCTTGGGTCCTCTGACTTCTGGGGCCTTCGCTGCAGCTTCTCCCGCTTCCCTCTTGGTGTCTGCCCATAAGAATGCCTACCTGCCACATGTCGCCTGACCTCCCATGTTTCATTTTGTTAACGATCTCTTTGTGTGTTTGTGTATGTTTCCTGCATACATGTATGTATACCGCATGTGTGTCTGGTGCCTGCGGAGGTCAGGAGAAGGTGTCAGATGATCTGGAACTGAAGTGACGAATAACTGTGGGAGGTACTCCATACCCGAACCATCAAGTGGGCGGGGCTGAGGAGAGTCTGGATGGAGAGCCTCAGCTCATTTCTATGCCTCCTTGTCTGTTGCTGTCACCCCAACTGGTCCTCTTGTATCTGTGATACCTTTGTTTCCCAGCTGAACCCTTAAAACAGGCCGTTCCATCCTGTGTCTGAATTTTTTTTTTTTGGATGGGAATTTTTCGAAGAGAAGCCATTGTATAAGAGAATGGTGCCCTGATCACTGTAGAAACCTCTTTGAAAGGGTCAGATACTTTTCCAGGCTGATGTCAAGCCAGCATTACCATTTGTCCCTGTGGTCACCTCTGATTGTATCTCCTCCTTTCAAGGCATTGCTCATTCCCGTTCTGTTTACATAGATTCATCCTACCAGCTCTGTTCCTCTAGAGAACCCTGCTTAATACAGTACCTGATTCAAAAAATTAAAAAAAAAACAAAACATGAATAATAGCAGCATACCCATGATCCATGAGAAATTTCTAGGCTCTAGTCCATATCAGCAAGTCATTGAAAGGCCTGACTCTTTCATGATGAGCAAGCTAGCATCCTCTGTCTGTGCTGGCTTTCTTTAGCTCCAATTGAATCCACCTTCCCCTACCCATAATACTTTTGCCTATAACACTTATGTCCTTTTCCTGAGTCTTATCCTAATGTCACTGAAATCGGAGTTCCCTCCTGTCCAGTGTCACAGGAAAGGCACCAAGAAGATAAAGACCAGGTCAGACCAAACAAGGTCACATAGACTCTGGGGAAGAGTTAAACCCAGAAAATGTTGGAGGATGAGCTCTTCTTCCATGTTGCATAACCTGAAGGACGTCATTTAATGGACATCAGTGGGGCAGGGTCTCTGGAGTTGCTCATGCAACACCTGAACCCCACAACACCAAATATTCCAACCAGCAGGCCTTGCTATTCAGTCCTAGGTCTTGATCATGCAGCTTGAGGCTCTCACACTCTTTGCTGCTGGGGGTGAAGACTGTAACATGAGGGGCCTGCTTGTTGGGGTTTCTGTCCCGCCTGGTATCCCACAGTCGGCAAGCCCCCAAAGAAAATCACACAGAGTCTACATTAGGTTATAACTCATTGGCCCATTAGCTCAGGCTACTTATTAGTGAAAGACCTGGATAGATCCAGACTCTTCTAGCAGGAAAAATAGAGCCAAAAATCTAGGTTCAGTGACTCTGTTTCAGGAACTAGCTGAAGATAAAGTTAGATTACAATCTTGAGAATAATCTTGAGAAACAGGGAGTTACTCCCTTGTGATTATCACTGGTATTTTCAGAATTTTCAATGATACCCTCCCTACTTCCTTTGGATTACTAGGTTGTGGTTTCTTCCCTTAAAAACCCCTTCTCCCAGTTACTCGAGGTCGAACTCCTCCCCTGTGTGGGTTATGAGTCTTGGCCCCAGTGCACTGGTTCCTGTCCTGTCAAATAAACCTCGTGTGATCGCAGCAAGGACGGTCTCTCGTGAGTTACTGGGGAGTGGGGTTGTGTTATCCCAGGACTTGAGTGAGAGTCTCCTCATACCGGGGGTCTTTCATTAGCTCTTGTAGCTTATATTAACCCATTGTTCTTATCTATGTTAGCTACATGGCTCTGTACCTTTCTCAGAGGAGGAGGTCACATCCTGCTTCTTTGGTGGTCTGGGCAGGAGTGCGAAGGAATGGGCTTCCTCCTTTCCAGCATTCTCCTGTTCTCATCGCCCCACCTCTACTTCCTGTCTGGTTGACCCGCCTATACTTCCTGCCTGGCCAATCAGCATTTATTTAAAACATGATTGAGAGAATATAGACAATTATCCCACACCAGCAGACATTCTCTCTTGGTTCTCCAGAGCTTATTTGTGCTTTAAGTCACAGTCATTTTTCTGAGACATCCGGCAACCTGTCTTACAGAAAGCCAGAGACAGCTATTAGGAGCAACCTTGGTCAGTTCTTTATTGGGAAAGGAATGCAGTCTGAAATCCGACAAATCTGCGATTCGAGAAAGATGTCAACCTGAAGTTTTAGCTCGTTTCCTATGAGCTCATAGGAGCCTTGGATCGTCTTAAGACCTTTACAAACGTAGGGATTCCTGGAGTCTCGCAGTTTTTGGACAGTGTTGAGCAAATGGAGATAACGCTTCCGGACCAGCCACATCCGCACCCAGGACTGCAGCTTCACAGCTGCATGTGCCTGCCTCAGGCTGGTGACCATCACCTTCTGTAACTTCCTGTTTAGCAGCCTGGCCGTTGTCTCCCTCCACCAGCACTGAATGGTCCAAGCACTGAGGGCAGCAAGTAGCAGGGTCCTGCGCACCAACGTGCCACGCCACCAGGCCTGGATCTTTATGCTTGCCAGCTGGACGTCAGCAGGCAGCTGCTATTAGAAAGAGAAGTGGTTGCATGAAAAAGAAAAGACACTCAGGAAATAGTCCTCAGGTAGCTCAGTCTCAGGATGGGAAACAAGGGGGACTTGGGTTACCTCTTTCTGTCATATTTACTTGTGGTTGTGCGTGCATCACCTTGAGTCTCAATGTCCCCATTTATAGAATGGGTACATCTGTTCTTGACACTCTTCTGGCTTTCCATGGAACTGGGCTGGTCAGTTTAGGACAACAGCCCTATGTTTTACAGATCTGTCTTGGATCTGATAGCCACCAGAGTCCCTTGCCCTCTTCCTTCAGACCTCCGCCTGCAAATGTGAGCTTTCCTGTTGCCTTATCCACGACGATTTCCCTCCTCTGTGTGGTCTGGCTCTTTCTCTTCTATTTTTCTTTCTTTCTTTTCTTTCTTTCTTTCTTTCTTTCTTTCTTTCTTTCTTTCTTTCTTTCTCTTTTCTTTTTTTTTTTCGAGACAGGGTTTCTCTGTAGCTTTGGAGCCTGTCCTGGCACTAGCTCTTGTAGACCAGGCTGGCCTCGAACTCACAGAGATCCGCCTGCCTCTGCCTCCTGAGCGCTGGGATTAAAGGCGTGCGCCACCACCTCCCGGCTTCTCTTCTATTTTTCAATTCTACTTTGTTCACTTTCCACATCTTACACACACACACACACACACACACACACACACACACACACACACACCACGTACACACACGCACGTGCACGCACATTCCATACTCTTGCATAATTTTGGACATGAGAGTCTCCATTTGGCTATTCATTCACAAACACATACCATCCCCCAGCTTCACAAGTCCTACCCCCGCTGTCTGGGATTTCTCCCCCACACATCAATCTTTCTACCTCAGTCACCTGTTGTAGAAAATTATTTTAAGATGTGTTACTTTTGTTTGTGAACTGTGAAGCTGTGATTCTTTGCCTGTCTAAAACACCTGAGGGTCCCAATGAAGAGCTGAACGGCCAATAGTGAGCCAGGAGAAAGGATAGGTGAGGCCGGGAGGCAGAGAGCAGGAATAGGAGGAGAACTCTGGGTAAAAAGGGAGAGCAAGAGAACAAGAAGAGGAGGACACCAGGGGTGATCCATCCAGCCACAGAGCAAGCCAGGAAGTAAGAAGTAAAGTATACAGAAACAGATAAAGGTAAAAGCCCAGAGGCAAAAGGGAGTTGGAATAATAAAAAAAGCTGGCTAGAAACAAGGCAAGCTGTGGCTGGATATTCATAAGAAAGAACAGACTGCGTATGTGATTTATTTGGGAGCTGAGTGGTGGGCACCCCCCAAAAGCCTAAAGAGCAAAGAGAAAAAGAGTCATCCTTGTCTCTGAGGCCAATAAGGTAACTGGATGAGACAGTCGAGGGTAAGCAAGCCCTGCTCATGGCAGCGCTGGAGAGTGTAGCTGTCCCAGTTAGCCGGGACAGTCTTGGTTTCTGATGGCTCTTCGGGGTAATGGCTTCATTCAGACCTTTTACTCTCAAATGTACCATGCTTAGAGCATCAATTCCATGACTATCTTATGGTATGGGCCACATACAAAGCAGGCCACAAACAAGGTATTCATCGACCTGAGTGATATGGATTAAGATCAGGGGTCATCCCTAACATTGGGGCCCTATACCACCTACTTTTGGTTGGAGTGGAAGTTTCCATTTCACTGTCTTTTCCCCCTGAACTATGGCTCCATCTGCCTTTGCAGCTTTAGTTTTCTCGTCTTGGGTTTGCTTCTTCTATAATCAGAATCAAAGGGTAAAGTAGATCACTCAGTGTACAAGTTATGGTTCTAATATGCACACAACCGTTTTGCTTGGATAGTCAGCCTAAACACAGGCCTTGGATCCTGACTGCTAGAGCAACGCACCTTCTCCTGCATACAACTTGTCAATTGGTGGACTTTTTTTTAAGATTTCTTTATCTATGTATATCAGTGTTTTGCCTGCATGTATGTCTGTGTGAGGGTGTTGGATCCCCTGGAACTAGAGTTAACAGACAGTTGTGAGCTCTCACGTGGGTGCTAGGAACTGAACCCCGGGTCCTCTGAAAGAGCCACCAGTGTTTTTGACCTCTGTG